CCAGGCCCTCAGTCACAGCCAGAGACACTGCACCAGGGAAGAGAGGCCCTCAGGTGGGTAGGGCCAGGGAAAGGCCAGCACTTGTACCTGCTCTGTTCCCCGTGCTCTCTGGGTCTCCATTCCCCTCCATGGTCTCTGAAGGCTTTTCCCCTGCTCCCGAGCCAGGCCACCCAAGCTATGTGAGGAATTGAACCTGACCATTTACCAAATTTATCCTGGATACCAGGTGGTGTCCTGACCTTGGGGAAGCAGGAGAGCTTGTTATGAGTCCTACCTGGAGGGGGCGAGCCAGCAAGGACAAGGAGACCAGGTATCAAGAGACCAGGCTGGTCAGTCATCTAGAAGGGCGTGATTATTAAGAGTGCAAGACCCAGATTGCTTAGGATGGGCCCCCTTCTTGTCCCTCACCATCTTCCTGCCTCTCCTGGTGACACAATCCTCAGCTGTTCATAGGATCAGTATAAAACATCACCCTCCCCTCAACATCTGATGTAGCCAAACTGATAGCATGTGCCTATAGTCCCAGGCTGAGGCTGAGGCAGGAGTATTTCCTGAGCCCAGGCATTTGAGACCCACTTGTGTACCATAGTGAAACCCTGACTCAGAAAACAAACAAACAAAAACCCCATGCTAACCACCACCGGCCACAGTAGCATTTCCCAAACTGGCCTAGCCACACAGATTTTATCCTGCTTGGTGCTCTTCTGCAGATATTCTTTGGGCAAAAGCCAAGACCTTCTTGGTCCAGTTTCTTCATTACCAGTGTCAAGTCCCTCTGTGTCCTCCTTGGGCCCTGTAGTTTCAGGTATACCAGAGCCTTACTGCAGGCCTCATAGCCTCTTCCCCATCTTCCACAGTCCTCCCTGGTCCCCAGAAGTTTGCCTCTGCCCCCTCGCCGCCCCTATGTGATTGATATTGCAGTTGTCTAATTTGGCCTCCCTGTTCCCCAATTCAGAATCTTAGGGTGCGCAGCAGTGGAGGAACTGAGTTCTTCACCCGGTCGGCCACTAAGTTCAAGGGTGCTCTGGCCCAGAAGTTTATGTTTGTGGATGGAGACCGAGCAGTGTGCGGCTCCTACAGGTGATTCTCCGTGGGGGTTGGGAGAGTGGTGCCTCTGAGTCCTAGCTGGTTTCTGCCTTTAATCCTCATGTTCTATACCCTGGTTATTCTGGTTTATTGGTCCCCAAACTGCTCAGGTGTGTGTGGGGCTGGGCATGCCTACCTGTCTATCTCTGGAGGCAGGCGGAGGGCTTTTGTCCAGGGTGACTATTGTTCCAGTCCCCAGTGTCACTGGCCTGGAGACAGGGTGGAGCCAGGTCAGGATGCACACAGCCATCTTCAGGGACAGGGCCAGCTTTGCAGGTACCATCGAAGTTACTGCGGGAGTTGGTGGTGGCAGTGAGCTTTGTGATGGCACTGGCCTCCAAGTGCTAGACTGAGATTTTCATTTGCCTTATGAATCCAGCAGCAGCTGAGAGTACAGTGCTGTTCCACTTTGCTGAGGTGCACAGCGGTTCCATGTAAGTGACTTCCCTGGGCTCCCAGACTCAAGTCTGACCCCATAGCTATGCCCTGTGCTTTGTCACCCCCAGCCTACATCTTGATTCCAGCCCCTTCGTCATAGTTTGATGGATACCAGCCTGGGGTGTATGGTGGGCTCTTGAGAAACCTGCTGCAGCAGGGACTGGGGAAGAATGTAGAATAGGGACTCGGGCCCCAGTGAGGTGGCAGGGCCCACATGCATGACCAGTGCCACTCTGCCTCTGTGTTGTAGCTTCACGTGGTCAGCCGCGAGGACGGACCGGAATGTGATCTCCGTGCTGTCTGGCCAGGTGGTGGAGATGTTCGACCGGCAGTTCCAGGAGCTGTATCTCATGTCACAGGGTGTGAGCCTCAAGGACATCCCCATGGACAAGGAGCCAGAACCAGAGCCCGTTTTGGTACCTGCTGTGGTCCCCCTGGTGCCTGCGGGCTCTGTGGCCAAGAAGCTCGTTAATCCCAAATATGCGCTGGTCAAAGCCAAGAGTGTTGATGAGATTGCCAAGACCTCTTCCTCTGAGAAGCAAGAGGTCAAGAGGACCCCAGGGCTGCGGGGCCCTGTACTGGCCGAGCGGCCGGGTGACCTCCCTGAGGTGCTACTGCCTATCCACCCGGGACTGCTCAACCTGGAGAGGGCCAATATGTTTGACTACCTGCCCACATGGGTGGAGCCAGACCCAGAACCTGGCAGTGACATCCTAGGCTACATCAACATCATTGATCCTAACATTTGGAATCCCCAGCCCAGCCAGATGAACCGCATCAAGATCCGTGACACCTCCCATGCCAGCATCCAGCACCAGCTATGGAAGCAGAGCCAGGAGGCCCACCCTTCTCCAGGGCCCAGCAGCCCCCAGCACAGCATCCCAGCCGAGAATGGCTTCCCCCAGAGGGACCTTGAGCCACAGCCTCCTGTGCCCAAGCCCCGGACAGTCCCTGTGGCAGACCTACTTGCCCAGGATGGCAGTGGTGTTGACTGGGCCCAGGAGGCCTCCGAAGAGGAAATGACTCCAAATGGGACAAACCTTGGGGTGCCCAGGAGAGTGGACTCAGGCCAAGCCCCGCTCCAGCGGCAACTGTCTGTGCCCCAGGATGACTCTGATGGCCTGGGGGCAGGGCTTCCCAATGGGCTGGATGGGGAGGAGGAGGAAGAGGAAGAAGACGATGATGATTACGTGACCCTCAGTGACCAGGACAGCCTCTCAGGCAGCTCTGGCCGTGGCCCTGGTCCCCGGCGACCCTCAGTGGCTTCTTCCATGTCAGATGAGTACTTTGAGGTGAGGGAGCGCTCAGTCCCCCTCCGGAGGCGCCACTCAGAGCAAATGGCCAATGGGCCAGCCCAGCTACCCCGCCGACAGCTGAGTGCCCCCCATATAACCAGAGTGACCTTTGGTGGACCCCAGGGTGGCTCCTCGTGGGTACAAGGTCGGATAAGAGAAGAGTCAGATGCATCGAGGAGGATGCAGGCCCAGCGCTCTGGGGACAAGGAGGCACAGGTGGGTCAGGTTCCTCTCCCCAGGGGTTATGGGAGTCCGTCACTGCAAATGGCCTAAGGGCCCAGAGCCGCCAACCCTCTGGGCTACCATGTCGGTGATTCAAAGGGGAAACTGATGAACAGGGATGGGTAGGAACTACCTGGGGCTTCTTGGCAGGTCATTATCATGCTGGGGACTCAAGCAACTGAAGGAAATGCACATCTGTGCACCCAAAGGTCTCAAACACCTGGAGTTACAGGATTTTGATGCTGCTTACCATGTGGATAGGACAGTTCCTAGTTTGCAGACAGACAAGGGAATAGCGGGGTTCCTTTACACCCTCAAGGTCACACAGCTCTAAATGGTCATTGTCTGAATCTTGTGCCAAGCCACCTCAGTGTTGATCCCTTTGTGGCTCTGGGGAGGATCCCTTCAACCCTGTGGTGAGCAACAGTTTACAGCCCTCTTTTGCCTCTCTTCCTAGTGGTCTTTGTAGAACAAGGCCTTGGAACATGGGCAACCTGCAGCCCTGCCTCAGCACCCAGAGCCTGTCCTACCTGGAAATAGTGCACGGCTGATCATGCCTGGCATGATCATCAGACCCATGGGCAGCATCTTGAGGTAGCTGGCAAGGATGGAGCCTGCCTTGGCATGGTTGAGGTTCCGGGCAGACAGTGACCGCTGCACGATGACCTGCAGGTGGAGTTAGAGAGAGGGTGTAGGTCCCAGACCTTCTGGATACCTGGGGAAGGATATCTCCCTGGTGAGTCTCAGGTAGTGGACTGAGACAGGACCTCATTAGCCCTGGACCTAATCTAGATAATCACGGAACCCTGACACCTGATGGAGATCTTGCCCTGCCTGGCAAGTACATTTGTTCCCAGAAACTCTGTCTCCACATCTGCCCAGCGGGGGAGCATGGATCCTGTCCAGCCCTGTGCCCCTAGCAGTTGTTAGGGATGGAGGAGTCTCTGGGTAGGAATGCATCAAGGGCACCACTCCTACCCTCGTCTCCTGGACCCTCATTTAGAGTGGTGGGTGCATTCACGCATGTGCCAGGAGCAGACATTGGTACAAACTCTGTGGTCACAGGCAGAAATTGCGAGTTTTCAGACCTAGGACTTGGGGAGCTTGCCCTTCAGTAGTGGAGGGCCACTCAAAGGTGCCTGAGGACACAGGTCTCTGGGGACTTTAGGCAACTGCTAAAGTCATCAGTTTTTAGATCTATAGAATTAGAGGGCATGAGAACTATAATTTAGACTGATGACATCTGGGATACCTCCCAGCTCTGATATTATGTTTCTACTTAAAAAGAAAAAATGTGGGCTAGGGGTGTACCTTAGTGTTAGAACACTTGAGGCCCTGGATTTGATTCCCAGCTATACAAATACAAAACAACTCAACTGTAACTCTTTAAGCCTCCCTGTTGAGAAATAATTCATAGACCCTATGATTTCCCCTTTAAAGGCAGTTACTCCAATTTATTTTTATACTATGTTCATGGTCATAAAACCTAGACCTCTGAAATGTGTTTTTTCCCGTGCTGTTCCACAGTTTAAATCACTATCTGCAACTCAGAAGTGGGAATTAGTGTGATTCCAGCTTCTTTTCCAAGCATGCTAGTTTAACAGCACTGATCCCTTGGGAGTAGCTCTCCTGGGACATTCATTACAGATGCAAGGCAGGCCCAAGGTGCAACCCTGGGGACACAGACAGCTGATTGTTGTCCTGCTTTTCCATGAGCTTGTGACTTGGGAGAAGTCATTATCTCACTTTGATCCTGTTTACCTATCTAGACCAGAGGCTGCAGGAGGAGATTCTGTGTATGCTCTTGGGCTCTCCTGTCTTGTGGCTGCAAAAGCCTTGGGCCTCAGTCACAGTGTAAGGGAACCATTCCTTAAAACCTTGCACATCTGTTATCTACTGTTGATAGGGGATATTTGTCCTTCATTATTTCATCCTGTGCTCACAGCAGTTAGGGACAGGTGCTGTGCCCCAGGGGAAAAGCTGAGACTGAGTTTCTGTGAGCTTTAAGACCCATCAGCAGGGTAGCAGTCCCTCTGCCTGAGTGTCAGGCACAGAGCTGGGATTCTCCCCTTGGTGTCAGCAAGTTGCTGCCTCATGTTACCTCTTCCCAGAATGTGTAGTCCCAGCTTGGTCCTCCCTCCTGTGGGGCTTGGTGCTCCTGCCCCACATCTGGCCATTTTGTCTCACTGAACATCTGTCTTCCATTTGCAAAATGGGTTGCTGCCACCAGCCCAAGGATTGTTGAAAGTACTGAGGCCACTGGTATAGAGGCCTGACCGTGAGCCAGCCACAACTGATTGCAAAGGGTGGAGGTTTCTGTTGGGATTGAGGCTGCTGCTGGCCTAGAGGAAGACATTTCATCTTATACCACAGCTTCTGCAGGGGACAAGAGACTCAGGAGCCACCAGAGCTGACAGGACCTGGGAGGTGATCCTATCCGTACACTTCCTTATTTTATAGATGGAACACTGAGCCCAGACCGGAGGTAGGGGTTTATGGCAGAGCCTAGACAGGAACCAGGCCAGGGTTGTGAATTTAGAGCCTCCGCCTCATTTGCTGCTAGTTTTTGCCTTTGGATTATAGAACTGTTCTCACTGTGCGTGAGCCTGAAGATAATGAAAAGTACAAAGAATGACACAAAAATTGCCCATGGTCCCAGCATCTTGAGTAGAGTGGAGTCAGACCCCTAGGTGTCCTGAAAGTTCCTGGGTGCTAGTAAGAGTCACTCAGAGACCAGGGAAGTTTGGGTAGGACCAGTGCTACCAGGGCTACTTGTTGGGGGTCTGCACTAAGGTCCCATATGCTCCAAGCTGGCCCAGTGAGAGGGAGGACAAGAGACAAGGCTGAGACCCTCTGGTCAGTCCTGAATGCTGGCTGGTGCTCTGACCACCTGAGGCCAGCAGGTTCCCTGTGCCTCCTGAGTGTCTCTCTCTAGACCTCGGGTACCTCATCTGGACAGTGAAGCCGGGGCAGCCCTGACCTAAGGCCAGGCTTCATGCTGACTCATTGCCCTTCATGGGAGAATCTCCTGAATGGTGTCCCACCCAGACGCCTGCCGTGCCAGCCTGAGCTTCATGGGAAGAAACAGGAGGCGGCTGGGGTGAAAGGCTCGCCCAGCCAGGGTGCCCACACTCAAGCACACCCTGCACTGCCACCTTTCGATCTCCTGGGCCAGCCCTCAGCCCTCCCGGGAGCACTGGGCAGACCCATGCTGGGGGCCGTCTGCTCCCTGGAAAGCCCAAGCAGGAGGCGTAGCCAATGGAAGAATCCAGGGGATTCCAGTTAGAGAGGGGCCCTGCTTGGGGGCAGTGTGTTACATATGGGGAAATGGAGGCCCTGTCTCCCAAGAGCACCTAACACCTCCCAGCCTTATCACTTGCCACTCTGGGAACCCGAGGAGGGTCTTTGGTACACACTGACAGAATTAGGAAAGGCACTTTCCCCTGGTGCACATCTGGCTGTCTCTGGGCCTCTGTGTTCCAGCCTGTGAATGGGACTGGTCTGGCCTGCCTAGGAGGGGATGTGCATGGGAGGCTCTGAGCAACCTCACGTTAGTCTCAGTGGCCAGCTGTGGTCTGCTCTCCTGGCTGCCTCCTTATCCCCTGGTGGGGGTTCCCCTGGGGCTGGCCCTGGAAGAATGGGTGGTAAGGACCAGAGTCACTTCTTGCCTTCAGGTGCAGAGGAGAGCACTGCCTCCAGCCACGCCTTTCAGTCTTTGCCCAACCACATCCAGCCTGTACTATATGGATAGAGGAGCAGGGGTGGGGGCACTGAGGAAAGCTGGCAGGGGCTTGCCTTTTTGTACCACAAAGGACAGGATGATGGATGACATGACAGGTGAGGAAACTGAGACCCGAAGTGATTACACCTGTTGGTGAGTGGCAGCGCCAGAAGGTAAATGCATGCTTGGTGGGAGTCCCGTGCAAGGGATGGAGCTGACTTTCCTGTCCACCCCTCCCAAACTCCTCACACTCTGCTATCTTTCTCCCAGGGCCAGCAGTTCCACCGCTACGGGGGCCCTGCCTCGAGGACCCCAGGACCTCCCCGCTACTGCCCTGCTGTTGATGGCACCCAGAGCTCTCCAAGGAAAGCCAGCCTGGCTATGGGAGGCCCCTACCCCTGGAAGCCCAAGGCTGGCCCAATACCCCGTGTACTGCCCAGTCCTGGGAGCCCAAGGCCGGCACGAAATACCCGCATCCTGGCTGATGGCAGGGCTGCTGAGGAGCATCCGAGTCCCTTCGGAATCCCGTACTCCAAACTGTCTCAGTCAAAGCACCTTAAGGCCAAGTCAAGTGGCAGCCAGTGGGCCTCATCTGATTCTAAGCGGAGGGCCCAGGCCCTCCAGGACCACAAGGACCCCTAGGAGCCCAGCCTGGGCTGGACCCACCAGAGTCTGCTCTGGAGCGGGGTGGGCAGCCAACACTGACACTCACCTGGTCAGTGCACCAGTACCAGGTGGCCATGATGGTTAGGCCGAAGGTCATTCCGGTCCATGGGAGGTCTCCAGTATGGGGGTCCCGAAACATGTGCATGGCGTCTGCCCGTGGCAGGTGGCAGGTTGTGTTGGCAATGGTCCTGGAGGGTATGGCCCGGGCATACACTGCTTCCAGCTGTCCGTAACCACCAATCTGGTCAAAAGCTGGAGGGAGACAGGTGTGACAGGGGCCACTTGGTGGTTGGTGGCCCTGGCTCCAGCTCTCCTTGCCCTCATCTCACAAGTAACTTTGTAAAGCATCAAACTGGAGTTTTTCCCACCTTGCCTTTCCTGGTGTTTGGAAAGGTGTGGTGAGTAGCGGGTTTAGAAAACAAGGTAAATTTAAAATAATTATTTTATTTGTATTTAAAGTAATACTATTAAATGAGCATTTTGCACGTGGGCACCATGGTGTCCTGTTGGCCGGAAGGGAATCACTGCTGGTCTCCAGAGGCTTGTTGGCCTCAGGTAAGGGGTTCTTTGCCATCCAAGGAGGCAAAAATAGTTTTCTCAGCATCCTGAGCACCTCCCTGAGGCATGTGAAGTGGTACGGTCCTGCTTCAGGGTTTACAAAGGGTGTAGTTTCACTAGTGCTAAAAATGGCTGCTCGTGATGTGGCTCTTTCCAGCCTGTTGGGTGGGTGGGACTACAGCCAGGGGTCTTGCCTCTTGAGTCCAGAGCACGTCTGTTCTCTCTGTTCCCGTCTACCTCGGGGTCAGGTCTCTGCATGGCCAAGCTTTGGCCTAACTGGCTTTGCTATATGTGTGGTCTCTCTCCTCCTATCTAGATTGGGCCTGGCTGGCTGGTCCCTGATCTAAGAGAGGAAACCTGGGCGTAGGAAAACCCACCTCTGCCCCAGGCCTTGTTGACCAGCAGGATGTGTAAAAAGGATCCCAGTCCAGGATCTGTGTTTGGACCAGGAATCTCAGAGAAAATCTCAGAGAAGCTCAGAGAAAATGTACAAGTCTTAGCGACTGCTCAACCATTCTTAGACCCTGAGTCTGGAAGTCTTTCAAGGCTTCCGTTTACCCTCTGTGGGATCCTCCCATCTTCACTTGCCTACTTTCAGGGTTAGAGAACTCACTAACTCACGGGACCACCCTATAAGCTTGTTTGTTCAGACTAGTATCAACAGTCTGTCTAAACTCTCCTCCCAGCCTTTGTCTAGCAGGAGACAGCATCACCTCTCAGGAGTCTGTACATGATTTTAAACAATTGGAGGCGACACCCAAGAAGTTCTGTGGTATCCTAATTGTGTGGTTCCACATCCACCTGTCAAGTCCCAAGCCAGGGCAGGCATGGCCAGCCCTGTGCTCGTGAGTCAGCTGCTCTCCAGTGTGTACCTGGTGACAGCTGGGCAGTGAGGGCAGAGAGGAGGCAGGCAGGCAGTGTCCATCTGTTTCGGGGGTAGAGGGGAGGACTGTCTACTGACTTGCCGTCAAGAGCCCCATAGGTGTGGGATAGCCCACGCCACTGTGGACTGAAGCCCCAGCCCTCACCTTTGATGGCCAGGATGACAGCCCCCACCACCATGATGACTGTCTGCAGGGCATCCGTGTAGATCACAGTGGCCAGACCCCCTGAAAGGGAACAAGGTAGCTGGAGGGGATCCCCTGGCCTTGAGGGAGAGGGGACCCAGGAGGCAACTTCCAGAGCTCCTGGTAGGCAAGCTATGAGCAGAAGCACCACAACCTGCAATCGTATCCCCAGTCCTAGGCCTCCCCAGAGCTTGTAGGAGGAAATGGCCCTCGACCTCCTACATGCGTTCCCTGGTTCCCACCAAGCCACAGCGTGACAGTCAGGCCCTCCCTGGGGCAATGCATACCTGCGATTGTGTACAAGGCTGTGATGAAGAGCGTGAGGGTGGTAGAGAGGTAGAAATTCCATCCCAGGCAGATGTGCACAAAGAGTGCCCCAGCGTACAGGTCAATCTGGGGGAGGACAGTCCAAGCAGAGGTTGGAGGTTAACATGGGCCAATGGGCTCAGAGCCCAGATGCTGCTGCTACCAACTGGCCATGTGACCTGGGTGACCCATGGATGAGGAAGAGAGACCTCTGCCCGCTCACCTACCCATATGGAGCTGTTCTGACGGTGGGAGAAAGAACTGGCTGTGGACAGCTGTTTACTGCTGTGTTCAGATGTACAGGGGATGTTGCTGTCATTAATAAAGTCCAGAATGGTCAATGCCCACTGATGCTTTGTTACTGAACTTGACCCAAGACTGGGGAACTCAAAGGGCAGAGCCCTGCCCCCTTGGTTCCTCTCTTTCTCTCTCTTTTTTTTTGGTTTTTGAGACAGGGCCTCACTATGTAGATGAGACTGACCTGGAATTCACTGTGTAGCCCAGGCTGGTCTCAAACACACAGGGATCCTCCTGCCTCAGCCTCCCGAGTGCTGGGTTTACAGGCGTGCGCCACCACGCCTGGCTGTCCCCTTGGTTTCTAGAGTGATCTTGATAAGGACTCCAAAGAGATTCATGGGGGAGACCCAGGACGGCTAGTGGGCCTCAAAGCAAGTGCCATGGCTAGGTTGCCAGGGGTACTTTTGCTTACTTTCCCCAGGAGGGTTGGACCTGAAAGCAGCACTCAGGCACATATCACAGGCTAGCTGGTTCCAGAGTTGGACTGGACAAGCTCTGCCATCCAGAGTCTGGGGCTGCTTATGTGGCAGAAGTCCTAGCTGGGGCAAGGCAGCCTTGGTATGGGAAGGGCCTTAATAAATCATAATCCCACCCTCCAATAGGCTAAGAGAGAGAAGCTTGTCCTATGGCCTGTCCTTTGGAGTTGGATGATGGGCTCCCTACCACACCTCTTTCTAAACCTGCTAAACTCAGCAGAGGAAAGATGACCCAAAATATACTCTAGGACCAAGGTTCTCAAAGGAGGCTGGGGTAGGATGTGGTTAGCTAAGTCCACAGGTGTGTGGGATAAGTTCGCACCAGATCGACCTCCTTGGGGCCCGGGAGACACAGAAGCTACCCTTTTGAACTCCTAAAGGACTGGTCCACATTGGCACAGTCAGCTATTGTCACCAGGCTCCAGAGGTCGGGGAGCAGAGACAGAGCCCAGGTGAGGAACAGGATCAGCTCTAAGCTGGTGGTGTTTCCTACTTCCCCTCTAGTGTCTTTCCTGCTCTTGGAGAGACCAGCCAATGTGTTTTCAGGACACTGACCCTATTATTGCAGTTCTTGGCTTCAACAGTGTGTGGAGCTGGGAGTGGAGTGGCTCAAGGAAGGATAGGCGGAGTCAGCTGAGAAACCCAGTGGTACTGCATATCAGAAGAGGAAAAACTCTTCAAGGTCCTACCCCTTAGGACTGGAGAAGAAACTGAGGCTCAGGAATCAGGTAGGACTTCTCAGAGTCAAGCACCCCTCTCTTCTATATATCAGCAATTGAGTTGCCAGGTGAGACAAGGCCCAGAGGGGGCAGGAAGTCTCTAGAAAGCCTGCTGCACCAGTTTCCCCCATCTGGCTGTCCTCCAGCTGCTGCTCAGGACCCCTTGCTGGACCCCAGGTGTGAGGGACAGAGCCCTGTTCTGTGCACCCGATCTTCAGATTCTGGGCACACTAGGTCAGCAGCCTCATTCCCATGCCTTGTCCTTTGCTGCTTCCAGGCCCTGATTCCCCAGCACCTTCTGCCTTTACAGTCCCAGCCTCTGCCTTTCATCCTCCAAACTCAGCCATCCCAGGTTCCTGACTGCTGTTTCATGGATAGTCAGTCTTCCCTCTCTTCCTTTTGTGCTGGCAGGCTTCAAATAGTACAGGCAAAGGTGTGGAGGTGGGTCCTTAACTGTTTCTTCTCTGTTGACCCTACAGGGGGTCAATAGGTCCTTCAAAGAAGCAATTGCCAGCACCACAGAGGAATCTCCAATATAGACATTCCCTGGTGCTATATGACCCTTCTGCAGTTTAAAGTCTTTCCTGGAGACCCAGGCCTGGTAGAAGCTGAGAGTTGCACAGACCTGGGTTTGTGTCCCTGGCCTGCAGTGTCCCAGCCATGTCACTTTGTGAGTAGGTCATTTCACTTTCTGAGCCTTATATGTAAAATGGGCACATGCATATGCAGCAAGCACAATTGTTTCTACCAGTCTGGCTGGAGCCTGAGGCTCCCATCTCTGCAGCTGTCTTCACTTGCCACCTGCTGGTCTGCCAAGAGAGGCTCAAGGAAGATCAGGTGACCACGGAGGGGCCATTCTCTCCTCTGTGCTCCCTCTTTGGGTGGTCCCAACAGCAGCTGCAGTCTAATCTAACCCCCTGAAGACACAGCTGGAGTCCTCCAGGCCAAGACGGCAAAGGAACTTGCTCATGGTAACAAAACCATGGGACACCATTAAAAAAAGGAAAAACAAACAGCATGTGTATGTTCCTCCCCAAGGAAGGGTCACCCTCAAGGGCCTAGAGCAAGCCAGGACTTCACTCCAAGTCATTGCCCAATACAGCCAAGCCACTGATCCATCCAGACTCAAAAATCTGCCCCAGCTGCAGGCTGATGTCTAGGATCCTGGCCAGCTGCCTTCTCCTGGGAGTTCATCTCTATCTCAGTCTTCCTCCCTGTTTCTTCCCTCCAGTATGATTCCCAACTGCCCATATCTTCTACCTACAGGCTGCTTCCCTTGTCTTGTGCCCGGAGTCCCAGCCAGTCTTCCAAGGCCCTTGACATCCCCCACAAAGCCCTTGCCACCTTGCCATCTTTGATAAGTGATAAATGATCATGTGTTTAATCTAATGCTCTGACTCACCTAATGCGTCCTAGAATCATCAACCTTGGGCACAGAGAAGCAAATACCTTGCTCAAAGTCCTGCAGTCCCAGAAGGCAGGGTCTTCTCTTGGGTCTGCGAGCTCCCCAGGAAGGAGGGCCAGGTTCCACAAGGGAGCACAGTGTGGAGAGAAGGCAGCTCTGCCCCTTGAAGCAATGGCCACCACCAGGGACGTGGGGGCCAGAGCCCAGTCCAATGAGGAGCATGGTTCTGCACAGGGCAGGCTGGGGCTGACCTGCAGGCTTGCACAGCTTGGAACCTCAGCTCCCATGTGCATGAAGGAGCCTCATTCTATCTCTCAGCCGCTGGAAACTGGAATCTGGGGTGCTCCTGCCACACTGTACCTGGCCACCCTCTTCCCTGGAGCCCCTTCTTTCCTCTGTAGAGTGGTAGAGAACCTGGAGTAGACCCTGCACTGGCATTTAACACAGATCACTATGATTTTCCCCCTAAATTGTCTCCCATGTCCCCCGCCCATTTCTTTCCCCCAGAGGCTCAGAACAGGAGCTTCTTGCCTTTGCTATACTCCCTGCAATCGACACCCGCACGCTGCTGAGGCTTCTCTCCCCAGTATGTGTCCACTCTCTTTGGAGCCCTCACTAGACCTTCAGACACCAGGCTCCCTCACAGGAGAACCAGAGGGCCTGAATTGGTCCAAGGAATGACGTCCACCTGCCCATCCCTGCCTAACCCATAGGCCCCACCCACCCCAGAAGCCCCTCTCAGCCTGGATTCCTTGTCAGGTTGGAAGGCTCTACTCAGCCCAGCATAGAGAACGTATGTGCCCTCCTGCCCCCTGCTGCCCACCATCACACCTCTTTTAACAAGCTGCCCCGTTGCCGTCAGTCCTGTCTCAGACACTGCAGCAGCAACACGGCATGTCCATGCCAGCCCATGCGCTTTCAGCCAAGCTGCTCCCTGCCCGGCTCTCCCTAGACTCTCTTGCAGCCACATGGTTGCTTCTGGGATCATGCTTTTACCCTTTGTTGTGATTATACAGTTCCATTTACATATCAGGTCTGTCTGGAAAGTGCTCCTGGGGCCACACAGTAGGTGCATGATAAGTAGGTGTGTTCCCAGGTAAGGAGAGGCACGCTAAAGCTCCCGGGCCGTCTAGTCCCCACGGTACTGTTGTCTGAGATTGGAGACGTTTTGGAGTTGGGACAGGACTGCGTGGCCCCAAAGCTGAAAATAATCACTATCAGGTCCTTCACAGACAAATGTGCCCACCATTGGCATATATTATTGAACTCAGTCCCAGGAGAGGTGCTGGGCATGTAGAAACATTGAAGACATAGCAGCGAACAAAGAAAAATGGGGAAGGTAGACTACAGATGCCCCAAGTCAATTATTCAACATGGGGGAAGATGCTAAAGGTAGGACAAAGGAGAGAAGAAAGTAGGCAGGACTGGTAGGGTAGGGGCAAAGCAGGATTTCAAAGACTGGCGAGAAGTAGGGAGCCTCCTGGGCATCGGGGAAGAGAGTTCCAGGCCAAGACCACAGCCGATGCAAAGGCAGGAACACTGGTGTGTGGGGAGAAGTGTCAGAAGGCCAGAAGAACACGGAGAGGAGAGGCCAGTGAGGCAGCAGGGGCCACACGATGGAGGACCTTGTGGGTCACAATTGGCCTTTAAGGCATATGGATTATCTTGCCTGGTTCCCCTAGTTCCAGAGGCCCAGAGACCTACAGTGATGGAATTGTGTGCCTCAGTCCCCTGTACTCTGTCCTCAAAGTGCTCTCTGGAGGTCCTTGTCTTCTCTGCAGGATGGTGGCAGCAGCCTTGTGATCCCTGTCTGGGCAGGCTTTGTCTGGAGCAGTTCTGGATGTTCAGACGTCGAAGATGTTCCTGGGACTCAGCCCAGTAAGGTCAGGGCCTCTGGGGGCCAGTGGGGAACACACACTTCAAACAGCTGCAGTCCAAAGCCATCAGTCAGGACAGTCCTGGTCACTCCCCAAGCCAGCAATTAAGTGTTCCTTTCGCATCACCCTCTGCCTCACCCCAGCAGCCCCAGTGTTGGTTCTGGAGCCTGGGCTTGATGTGACTGGTTGCTCCCCATTTAATAGGCAGGTGCTCTGAATCACCCCCATCACAAGGTAGAGTTGGAAGCACCACATCCTGGCTGCAGGGAGTGGGGACAATATGTGTGGCCTGGTCCTGGGCAGGAGGCAGGGTTCTGGCTGACCTCTGTCTGGTTTGTCAGGACCTTGGCCAAGGCGACAGTGTCTGACCAGGTCTCAGTGGTCACATCCACGAATGGGTGCTGGAGGACAGCATCTAAGGATCCTTCCCACTTGGCTGAGCTCTTCCTTCAGCAGTGCCAGAAGTCCCACCCCGCCACTCATCCTTCCAGCTCATCTTCCGGGAGGTTCCAGAGAGCACTGACCTGCAACCTGAACCTGCCACCCCGCTGCCTGACGCTGTACGTTTGACTTCTTCCCGCTGGAGCTCCTCAGTCTTATCTCTCACGGTAGCCCTCTAGGTCAGGTATGGAAGGCTGGCAGCCTAAGAGCCAGATGTGGCACCTGCTTCTGTTTTTGTGAATGCCGGAGCACATTCTCTGCTTTGCCTGAGTTCCTTAAACTGCCTGTTATCTCACTCCCAGTCCTCACACCATTTCCTATCTGGTTCTGGGAAGTATCTAGCTTAGTGATCACTAGATTCTAGGTCTCCTGACCCAGTTGCCCCCAACTCATCCCATACTGTCCTGTCTCTCTTTTTGGTGTTTATTCTCCCTCCCCTGTCAGCATCCTTTCCTTCAAAGATGCCAGAATCAAATGTCACTCCCATCCCCCACAGGCTCTATTGCTTCCTTTTCTGAGGTCCGTGCTTGTCTGTTCTCTTTCTCTATCTGCCTCGTACCACATTGAGAACCAGGGCAGATCAGAGCCAGGTGTTATCTATTTCTGTATATCTGGATGCCAGAGAGGTGGACTCAGGAGATGGGGCAGAGTGAGGAAGAGTGTGGGGGGGAGTTTCAGAATTCAGCCTCAAGGACATCATCCTGAGGCCAGGTCCCTCAGATTCTAAAGGGATCCATTTAGGAAGAGAACCTCTGAGGATTCCTTGAGAACATCTAGTAGTGATGGTGTGGTGATGCTTACTGCTAACAATGCCCGGAAACTGGCTACATTAACAAGATGCTCTGAGGAGTCTTTCCCCACCCTGAGCAGCCCTGAAGGCACAGAATATAGGAGACACAAAGCTAAGGCTACAGGGGACCTAAGGAGGATGGGGGCAGGCCAGTGCCCAGTCAGATCCAAGGCAGGGCCCAGGGAGGGCTCTGGTTGGTGTTCTTGGAGCCCTCCTTCAGCTATTCCCACAGCTTCTGGCTGACCAGCAAGACCTCAGCCTCTGCAACCTCCATGCCTCCTGAAGCCTGGATTTTCGTAGCCCCAGAGCTGAACAGATATTGTAGGAAATGACTTTGCTGCTGAGCAGAGAGGCCCCACAGAGCACATCCCCCAGACCACACACAAGCCATCAGCTACCTTCAGGAAGACCTGAGAGGTGGGCAATGACAGCCCATCTTACAAGTTGAAGAAGTTGAGGCTAAGAGAGGCTCAGAGGCTTTGGCCAGAATGAGCAGCCCCCAAACCCAGGCTCCTTTGAAGCCTGAAGCTGAGGGAGGCTGCAAGTTCCTGGTGACCTGGAATCCAACAGGGTATGGGAAGCTGGTATTGCCAGAGTCTGTGAGCAGAGGCTTGGGGTGACTTCTTTTTCTTCCTTGGGCCTCAGTTTTCTTATTTGTTAAATCAGGGGTTCAGACAAGGCAGGCTCTGGGCTCCTACTGACTTTGACATTTGAGGTGGTGCTTTCTGCTCCTAATGTTCTCAGGTTGAGGCCAAAGGAAGAGTTGAAGCCATGGAGCTGCCCAGAGTGATCAGGGTGGGAAGCAGGAGATGGCTCCATGCGAATGCAGGCCTGGCAGAGGTCACATGGGCTTCTGTCACCCTCCAGTGGGAGATTCTGGCTCATCTTGATGAAAGCTACAAGGAAGACACCCAGGTCTGGCCCCTACCACTCCCACCCAGTAGGGTTGGCAGCTGAGCTTTCAGCCCAGGGACTCTGGATCAGCTTTCCCAGAATTGTGGTGTGACCCATTGTTCCTCCTCGGGTCTCAGAGGTGGGTGAGAGGATGTCAGGTCCATTTGAGAGGCTCCCAGATGGGGCATGTTTCCAGGCTATGCCATGGAGGGTGGAGTAGGAGACTCACCGATATCTTGGTAAAGACAGACAGCAGCAGGGAGAGGACGGATAGATACATGCGGATGCGCTGGCCTCCAAAGCGCTTCTGAATGTATTCAGGCAAGGTGACAATCTGGGAAGGCATAGGGGCAAGGGATAAGCACTCCTGGGGACAATGCCCAGCGTTCAAGGCAGGGGCCCATCCCAAGAACCCCACCTCTCCTTTGGCTCCTAAGCCTCTCAAAGACAACGACAATGACAAAGGCATTTACTATAGCCCCAGCCCCAGCCCTAAGGCTCAGGCTCCCCTAAGGGCAGTGGCGTGCTGAGATTGGATGGAAGAGCCACAGCTGAGAACAAAGGGACGAGTTGGGAGGTTGTTGTGACAAATCCAGAGGAGCTGTGCTGAGGCTGGATGGGGTGCAGCTATGAGGGCTGAGCAGGGTTGCCTCTGAAAAAGAACCAGGGAAGGAAACCCAAGGGGCTTAGTGACAACAAAGTGGGACTGAAGGAATGCGTGAGTCAAGAATGTGCAGCCAGGTGTGCTACCTAGTTATACTGCCCAGGTATGCAAGCAGTCGAATGTCCCCACTGAGCTGCTGCCTACAGAGAGCAGTGGGAATGAGCCCACAGGTGTTCAGGTTGTGGCCCAAGAGAACCTATTTTAGTGGGCCACTGAAAATGGTAGTCGCACTGATAATAAACCAGCCTGGAGGGTTCTCCTGCTTAGACACGAGGTCTCGGGAGTCCTGCTTACCACCACCAACTGGGCCCAAAGCCCAGCTCCCAGACTCACCTCTGAGGAGATGTAAATGGGCACAAACACCCACGCCAGTGCCAGGAGAACATACGTGGCCTGTGGGAACAGAGGCAGGTGAGGGACACCATGTGGCTTCCCAAAGCCCTGCCTCTAGACATAAGTAGATGCGGTGGGAACTGTTGGTCTGGAGGCCTATCTCTCCTGCCTGGTTTGGTGTGAGAATCTGGGCAGGCATGGGAGAGGGGCCTCCCCGTCTCTGGCCGGGCTTCGGTAGGGCAGGTCCCCATCCCAATAGCTCTACCTCTCCCTTGACATATGAAGTGGCTGTGAGCCTCTTGAGGGCAACAGTGATGGCAAGGGCATTTACTAGTCCCAGCCTCAGCCCCAGTCTTAAAGTCCAAGGCCGAGGCCGAGGCCATCAGCTCCTGTCCAGCACATTGATGTCTTGACTAGTAGCTTGCTTAGGGACACTGCCTGTCTAGGGACCTGCCTAGACATGGGCTGGCACTTGTGGTTACTCGGAACCAGGGACTGGTTATGGTTGCTATACCCTGTGCCCCAGCCCTCCCACAGGTTGTGTCTCTCCTCCGGGGCTCACATTCCATTCGAAGCCTGCCACAGCCAGGCCTCCAGCTGCACCTGAGCCAGCCAATCCAACAAAGAGGCCAGATCCCTCGCTGCTTGCAAAGAGGGAGGCTCCAATCTGGAGGGAAAGAGGAAAATCAATCAGTGGCAGGCCCACCATGCAGGCTTCACCCTGGACCCAACAACTTCACAAACAAGTGGGCCCCCATTCCTACTTTACAGGTAAAGAGTCCAGGCTTCTCTGGGCTGGCCACCCAGCTAAGGAGCAGACAAAGTTTTTAGACTCTAGATCCCCATCCTTTACCCAATTTCCATCAGCCTGTCCCTACATGTCCAGTTTGGGCTTCTCCTGCCAGCCTCAGGCCTAGACTATTGAGCCAGCCCTTGCAGCAACCTTGGAAGAGGATGACACATGAAATCACCTCAGGGATGCAGATGGAAGCTGACTTCCAGGCTGGATAGAGGGGGTACAATAAGTCAGGGTTCACTTACCGGCCACCACGTCATGTCCCGGCCTGCCAGGAAGTATCCACTCACTGTATTCCTGCTGGCTCGACAAGAAGACTATGAGGACAGAAGAGGAGAAGCAGGAGTTGGAACGCTGTGCACTGTTGGTGGGAATGGCTTATTGCTGCAGAAAAAGGTTGGCAGTTCCTCAAAAAAGCTAAGCATAGGCTGGGCAGAGTGGCACATACTTATAATCCCAGCTACTTCAGAGGTGAAGGTGGGAAGCCCACAAGTTTGAATCTGGGCAATTTAGCAAGACCCCATCTTAAAATAAAAAGGGCTGCAGTTGTAGCTCAGTGGTAGAGCATTTGTGTGAAGCTCTGTTTCAGTTCCCACACCCCCCGCCAAAAGCATTGAATTGCCATGTAATGCAGCAGTGCCAGTCTGAATTATACCCAAAAGAGCTGAAATCAGATGTCCACTAAAAATGTATGTAGGAATGTCCACAGCAGCACCACTCAGAATAGCCAGAAGTGGAAACAACCCAAGGGTCGATCAACTACTGAATGAATAAATAAATGTTGTATAGCCATATAATGGAATATTACAAATAAATAAACTCCCAACACCCAAGAAAGAGAAATGAATGAAGTTCTGATGCATGCTACAGCTTGAGTGAACCTTTAAAACATTATGTTCAGCGAAAACAACAGACATAGAAGGCAACATATATGTAATTCAACTTACATGCTGTTCATAATAGGCAAATCCACAGAGACAAACACAGATTAGAGGTTTCCAAGAGATGGGGAGTAAGAAGAATGGAGAGGATTTCCTTTTGGAATGATGAAAATGCTTTGCCATTAGATAGAATTACAAGTTCCACAGCAATTTAAATGTATTAAATACCATGAATTGGACACTATGAAAGGGTTTAAAATGTTGGATTTTTGCCAGCATCAGATTTATTTTAGAAGTCTTTGCCAATTTAATTATCATAAACACAGAATAACAGCCAGAATAATGGGCCAAAAAGCATAGAAAACACATAAAACAATATACAAAATCAGTGGTGGTGGACCGATGGCATGTGTGTTGCAGTGGGCGGTTTGCATCACTGAAAGCCTAAAAGGTTCCCATCACTACTAAATCAGGGTGCACTCTTAGGTACATTTTAGACAATCCATTTTAGATTACAATAAATTTTTCTCTCTTTCCTTTTATTTTTTATTTCTTTTATTTTTATTTCTTTCCTGTCTTTTATTTTGCACTTCATTTATCTATTGCATTTCTCATATAAGAGGAAACCATGCATCTATTGAGATGATGATGTGATTTTTGGCCTTTCTTCTGTCTATGTGGTGTATTGTGTTTATTTACGTATGTACATTAAACCATGCCTGCATCTCTGGAATTATCATCGTGCATGGTCTTTATGACGATTTGCTACATTCAGTTCATCAGCATCTTCTTAAGTTTTGCCTCTATGTTCATTACAGACATTGGCCTATAGTTCTCTTTTGGTTGGTTCCTTTTTCTGGTTTTGGAATCAGGGTATTGCTCGCTTCCAGGAATGACTTTGGGAGTTCTGCTTCCCTTCTGATTTCATGAAAGAGTTTGAAGAGTATTGGCATTAGATTTTCTCTAATGACCTTGTAGAATTTGACAGTGAACCTGTTTGGACCTGGGCTTGCTTTTCTTAGTTGGTAGTTTAAAAAAATTATTCCTTCAATTTAATTTACTGATATTGCATTACTCATGTTTTTTATGTCCTCTTGGTTCAGCTTTGGTAGTTCATATCTAGGAATCTATCCATGTTTTCTAGATTTTCCTTTATATTAGAGTATAGGTTCTCAAAGTAGTTATCAAAGATCCTCTGGATTTTGGCAGAATCTGTTGAAATTTCACCTTCTTCATTTCTGATTGCATGGATTTGTGTATTTCCTTTATTTTTGGTAAGATTGGATAAGAGTTTTTCTGTTTTATTTATATTTTCAAGGAACCAACACTTCGATTCATTGTATTGATTTTTAGTCTCAAGTTCATTAATCTCTGTCCTGATCTTTATAATTTCTTTCCTCATACTAGCTTTGGATCTGGATTGCTTTTGTTTCTCTAGAACACTGAGGTGCATCATTAGGTTATTTATTTGAGCTCAATCTGTTCTTCTGATGTGAGGTATAAACTTTCCTCTTTGGTGGAGGGGGCTGGGAATACAGCTCAGTGGTGTAAGCATGAGGCTCTGAGTTAGATTCCTGGTCCAAAAAAGAAAAAAAAAAGCCTCTTTAAAAAAACACTTTATTTAAACAACAACAACAACCTCTGTGGACTGCTTTCACTATGTATGAGAGGTTCTTGTATGTTGTACTGGCATTATTGTTTGATCATAGGAACTGTCTATAATTTCTTCCTTAATTTCACTTATGATCTATTGATCATTCAAGAGGGTATTATTTAATTCCTATGCATTTGCATAGTTTCTGGGGTTATTTTGCTATTGACTTCTAGTTTCATTGCAGTATGATCTGATAATATGCATGGGATAATTTTGATTTTTTTTCATTTACTTAAGTATGCTTTATGGGCTAGCATATGGTCTGTTTTGGAGAATGTCCCATGTGCCGCTGTTGTTGGATAGAATACTCTAGATGTTTATTAAGTCTGTTTGTTTGAAGATTTGATTCCTCTCTGATGTTTGTTGATTTTTTTGTCTAATCGATCTATCCATTTGTGACATTGGGGGATTGAGATCTCCCATTACAATTGCACTGATGTTTATCCATTTCACATTCATTAATGCTTGGGTTCATTAAAAGTTGGGTAATGCTGGTATTTGGTGTATATACAATGGTTAACTCTTCCTATTGAATTGTTCCCTGACCTTGTCTCTTCTGATCAGTTTGGCTTGAAATCCATTTTATATGAAGTTAGGATAGTTACTTCTACTTTTCTCTGGGTTCTCACTGCATTGAATATTGTTTTTCATCCTTTGATTTTAAGCAGCAAATTTTTTGAATTAAATGTGTTTCTTGTATACTGCAAATTATTGGATTTCGTTTCTTCATCCACTCTGCCAATCTGTATCTTTTGATTGGGAAATTGAGACCACTCATATTGGGAGTTATTACTAAAAGATATTAACTTATTCCTGCCATTCCATTATTTTCCTGTTGTTGGTTTCCTGATGTTTTCCCTTTTGCTTAGCTGCTTATCCTACCATGTATATTCATTTTTTCTGACTTATTATTAGCATTGCTGACTTCATTGTCTCTTTCTAGGATATCTTTGACAGTATTTTTGTAATGCTGGTTTGGTAGTCATGAATTTCTTGAGATGCTCCTGCTGTGGAAATACCTTATTTCTCTGTCAATTTTGAAGGAAAGTTTTGCAGAATACACAAATTGGGGGTGTAAGTTGTTATCTTTTAGTCCTTGAAACACTTCACTCAAAGCCCTCTTGGTCTTTAAGACTGTGTTGAGGAGTCTGTTGTAGTTGAAATGGGTTTGCCCTTACATGTGATTCATGACCTTTCTCTAACAGCTTTTAAAGTTTTGTCACCATGATGGACTTCTGGAACTTTGAATATAATATGATGTGGGGAAGTTCTCTTTTGGTCATGGATATTTGGGGTTCTGTATGGCTCACTTATCTATATGTTTACCTCTCCCTATTTTGGGAAATTTTCTGCCTTTTTTTGGACACAAGGGCTCACTATGTAGTCCACGCTGGCCTCATACTCATGGCAATCCTCCTGCCTCAGCTTCCCAAGTGCTAAGATTACAGGTGTGCACCACCACACTCAATATCTGCCATTATTTCTGTGAATAGTGTTTTTATGCCACTTGTGTTGCCTTCTAATTTTTCACTGAATAAGTGAAATGGAATAAGTGATTGGAATACATTTATTCTTAGATTCTTCTTCTTTGTATCATCTAGCACCTGTTGGCTCCATTTTCATGTTCTCTTGTTTTTAGAGTGTTTGAGTAGTGGATGTTGGAAGGCATCACTGTCCTCTAGTTATGAAATGGTATCCTCATATTTGTCACTTCTGCTACCCATACATACTTTCAATATAATTTTTAATCTCCTGGAGTTCAGATTGAAATAGTTTCATAGACTAATTCTTTGCTAAACTGGTCCTTCATGTTTTATATCATTTTGTTTAGCTCACCTTTCTGTTGTTGTCTTCTGAAAGCTCCTGGATCATTTGGCATTTAATCCCATTAACTATTTAGTTATTTCTTTTGTGTTCCTGCTGAGTACATTTTTAATCTGTTTTCTAACTCCTGCTCTCCTTTCAAATAAGTTGGATGTGTGGCTTAGGATCCCCCCTCAAAGTCCTCTGGATTGGCTTTGGGGGAGTTTGGGATATTGGGAGACATTTTTTGCATGTCTTTTCATGTTTCTATTGTTTTGTGCTAAGGTTTGTGGAAGCTTATAGTGTGAAGCCTTTATTGCTAGTATAGAGATGTCTTAGTTGCTTTTCAGTGATGTACTTTGGGCATGGATAACTATAGTCCTTTACCTCACCCAAGATCCAACCCCCTTGGTTAATTTGGGAGGGGAGAAGGCAGCATAATTGGTCCAACACTGAGTTCTCTGGGAATGTATTCTAGTATTGTTAGTGTCACAAAGGTAATCTGAGTTGTTGCCCTACAGAAAAAAATTAATAGCAATGATTATATAATCCTGGGAATATCAAGCAAATCAGCTAGAGTAGTATCATCCAAGATGAACTGGATGTTAACACACCCTAAGAAATAATTATGTACCACCTTTAACACTAGAGAAGAGATCCACAATTATGGTGCAAAAACATTAAGACAACCCAAGTATTGACTTACAGTGAATATGTACCTAATGCAACAGCTATATCTCTGCTAATGGTAAAAAATGATTCAACAATAATTTTATAGGATTAACTATGTAAAGATCAGTTAAGCTTTATGGTTATACTATTAAAGGCTCATTAATTTTTTTTTTGAGACAGGGTCTCACTTTACAGTTCAGGCTGGCTCTGAAGTCACTATGTAGCTCAGGCTGGCCTCAAACTCATAGCAATCCTCCTGCTTCAGCCTCCCAAGTGCTGGAATTATAGGCATGTGCCACTACGCCTG